GTAATTCTGCTAGATTAATGTGATGAAATTTAATAAAAATTTAACGACAAAAGAGAAAAGAAAAATAATGTGAACATTTCTTCTTCCTTGTTCTAAGAAATATGAAAGTTATGCAATAAAAATTGAAATGTTTTGAACTCATGTAGCAAGAAATTACAATGTACAGTACTATAAAAGTAGCTTAGAATATTTATATTAGTATGAAGGTAAGTTATAAAAGATATCAGAGTTTTCAATTACTCATTTAAAATTTGTTTGGCAATAAATTTCTCTTGCTGACATGTAATGGCAACGTTATTAATGAAACAAAGCAAACTCTGAGTTTTGTTTATGATGATTACTTTCCTTTGTGTTCTTCTATGGTGAAATATCAGCAAAACGAATCCACATGGCTCCAGTGAAGATTATCCTCTCCAAGAAGGCAGAAACATGCAACGATATGAGATTAAAAACTAAGAAATATCTGAACTCTTATTTGAACTTTGCAGAAGAAAGTTTAATGGTGATGAAGAGGCGAAGATAACAATTATAGAACAGATTGCTGAAATATATTACATTAAGTTTTTAAGGACATAGAGCTGCTGATTAAAAAGTGCGCAAAGTATGTCATAGCACAGGGCAGGAAGAATTGAGTGGGAAACAAAAATTTCAGGACTTGTTATAGATGTATGGTCTTTCCTCACTAAATGTACAGTTCCATCCTAGTTTTTATGAACAGTGCGGCCGGAGACAGGCCTGAGGGTCCATCTTAGTTCCTTTGCTTCCAAGCCACACTAGGAGGCTTTCGATTCGCCTGTGCTTTAACTGGCCCAAGCCGCACAAAACGTTTACAAGTACAAACGTCCATGCTATCTTTGGGATTCGAAACCTCGTCCAGTGATATAGCAGTTAACTTTGCTAATGACTCGAATGCAGGATTATTGAAAATTAAAGATATCATCTTTTCTCTGTTTCTTACAGATGAGGCCGGAAAATTTCGTATCTTTCCTCGTACATTTTAAGTGCGTCGTTTTCTGTGAAAAAATTAATAAAGAATATTGAAACATCTCTGAATCAAATGCATATCTACTTGAAAATTTATGTGAAAAAGTGTCAGTAGCCATGTATAAGGAATAAATAAATTCAAACAAAATATAAAAGCGCTTATGAAAGCTAAAGTGACAGTACGGATATCTTTCCTTGCACGAGGTAATGTTTCTGAGAGTTATACGAGGAAAATATTTCGAGAACTGTACAGTTACTTTCCGCGTTTAAAGCTAATTGAGTAACACAGAGATTACGCTACTTGAATGTTTAAAAGTGAAATTTGTTGCCTTTTTTATTTCCTTGTACGAAGTAAAGGAACTATTGTAATGCGAAAAATTTCGGGTATCATATTTCAAAGAAAATATCCATTTTGATCGCTCTCGAATCCCTCTGAACTCTGTTTTTGCGTGATATTTCTATGTACGGACAGAATAGAGGTCTCCTATTTCCAAAACGGATTAAAAATGTGACTTAAAATGCATTCAGGGAAGATTTGTTTCGTGGCGTCTCTACGTACGTATGTATGTATCTTGCATAACTCAAAAAGCAGCTCAAAAAGGAGTATTCTAAGAAATTTTGTATGTGGGGATGCTGTAATATGTAGTTGTGCACCTCTCGTTTTGGTTGCAATCGGCCACACCAAAAGTATAGTAATCTATATACCCACTGTGTTACTCAGCTCGGTAAGTTCAGTTTTTTATTCTTATATATAGGTAATCTGTGCATTTTTTGCTTAAAATGAGATTGACTTATGTTGTTATGTTCCAGTTAACATTTTTATGCCTTTAATTAATCTGCATGTAATAGTTTCAGAATTATCAACAATTTAAAAGTTGTTTAAGTGCAGCGAAGCCTAACGGAAGAGCCATTTATTTGCATTTGAAACTTAACAGAATAGTGCACTAAGTCGGTTTCTGCACCTTCTTCTCATCACGTGTCTTTCTCCCGAGTGGGACCAAAAGTAAACTTTCCGTTTTGTGCACTGAAAAATCTGCGTTCTTCGATAAATCTGACGAGCCGAATTGCTTACTTTTGGGCAGAAACTCTAATTTTTAACTGTATTTGATTTTTATGTTTTCTATATTTTTCAATTTTAATGGTGTTTTGAGTTGTTATGCATTTTTGCTGCGAATTGAGAACTGAATTAAATGAATAAGAAATATATCTCTAATGAAGTTTGAGGAAATAAATTTAAATTAAATGCAGCAAAAAATTGTATGTCATTTTGTGTCCATGACATCAGGCAAAAAATCATGGTGTGTCCACATCAGGCTCTTGTTTCTTGTCTGAACGCAGGCTTTTAAACATTTAGATTCACAAAGAAAATCGATAAAATGATATTTATTTGATATTCGAATTATGAATGAGAATTTGTTTTAAATGTCTCATCATGTAAGCATCACATTTTCGAACTCAGGGGAAATCTTCAATTTGTTTTTGAATGTGAATGTAATCAAAGACCAAAAATTTTCTTCGTAAACTGAGGTTTAGAATTCTGTATCATATCACGTAACAATGCGTAGTCTACAGCTATAATGGCAACATTGAAAGAAATTAAAAATGTTGTTCATTAGAGCTATAAGAAAGAACAATTGGTGCATTCTTTTATCTAAAATGCTTCGTAAATTAAAGAGAGCATTTCTAAATTTCAACAAAAATAACTAAAATGTTGTGTTATTTAAACGAATAAAGATGCTAATAATCTTTTTTCTGCCAAAACTTCCATAAACCTTGTTAAGAAATTGATTGATTGATTAGGAATAAAGCAGAATTCCATCAGCTCATTTTAAACTCTAAATTTGTCTTCCTCATTTTTATCGTTTTGCAAATTTGTTGAGCGTTTTTAAGTTTTCGAAAAATAAATGGCCATTAATTTGAAACAGTAGCTAATGAGGATAAATCCGGTAATTAGTTAAACAGAGCCAAATACAGTAAAAATTTGTATTAATTTAATTCTGAAAATTTTTACAAGAAAACATATATTTAAATATGAATTGAAATTCAAGAGACCTGAATTCTTGTTAAATTTTAAATAATATATAAGATCATTTATCCTTAACAGATTGGTCTTTCAGCGTGTAAAATAAATGTGACTATTTTAATGCCAGAGTTAATATTTTAGAAAAGTTGGCTTTTACCAAATGGAGAATAATGAACCAACTATAGTCTTTACCAACTATAAAAAAAAGGATACTCCAACCTTTTTATGCTTCAAAACATTAAAAATCTCCGAAATTCTCGCGGCTTCTATAAATATACACATAAAAGAGATATAAAGATAGGAAGGTCTTTGTAAAGAATAGTAACTTAATAATATGTTATATGTATTGCTGATAATCTTATAAAAATCCGAGAAACTAATTATATAATGAATGCCCATTTTTTTGTAATTTTATGCTTTAAAAATCCATTAAAAAGAATGTATTGTAATATAGAATGTATCTATTTGCAAAAATGTGTATTGTCCTGCCAGTATCTGAGCTTGGTTTAGAATCTGTTCTACTTTGCAGATACATATAACATGGCAAGCACAATTTAAATGAAATGAAAATCGGAGTCTCGTGGATTTTAAATGTTCCATATAACATACTTCTACTTAAACGTGCTTTATTCGTAAGCCAAGTCAATATGTAGAAACATTTATACAGTCTTTACCCGTTTTACGAAAGTATAACTTTCCTGTGAAATCTATTGTAAACTAAAAAAGAAAGCTTTCGTTTTATATTAAAAAACATTTTAAATTTTCCGATTCTTCCAAAGTATCTGCAAGCTCATGACAACCTATAATAACTTAGTAGAAAAAGAAGTAATATTATTAATACATAAATTATGTAATGAAAGGGGATTTATATTTAGAATTTATAGGGTAATTTTATCTTTGGAAACTAGGAAACCAGGCACCATACTTGAAGATAGAGGAGTAGTGGCAATGACGATGGAAGTTAAGGCTGAGTTATCAGGGATTAGGTAGTGGAAGATACAAAGACTAAATTTTAGAGACAAACTGCAGATATCATTGTTTATAGCAGTTTATTTCCGTTTAGTCATATTTTACGATATTCATGAATGCTTGCCATAGAATGGAATTCTGAAGTGTATCGTGTGATTTGGTTGGCATGAATGTTTTGATCGCAGTTAAGTTGTATGCTTAGTAATTTAGACTGAAATATTTTTTTACATGAGAACAGATTTTCGCAGGCAATCAAAGTATCAAAGTATCAGTATTAATGGCCACAAACCTGCACGGTGTTTTAGAATTAAAGTTATGGATCTTGGCAATTATTGCGCGCAAAAAGGAATGTTTCGCTTTTTCGTATTTTACATAAAAATGAAACTTTTCGTCGGATTTCTTTCGTTAATAGAAGAAAACGTTAATGGTAGATCTTCCATAAAATAGAAATGGCGTAAAGTGAACATTTGTAAGGCAGGGAATATCTGTCCCACCGTTAAGAAGTACGTGGTATCCTCACTAGGCAATTTAATGAAGATTAGCTGTGGCACACAGAGTACAAGCTCCAACGCTATTTATTAATTAAGCGCCAATTCTATTTACTAAATTTAATTAAATTCACAATTTTAAGTTCTAATAATAATAAATAAATATATTTATCGCAACGCTACCTTTTGAAAATAATACCATGTCTTAAAATAGTGTTTGTTGTAAGTAAAAGCGAAGAGCTCAAGCTTATGTATTCTTAAATTAATACGTCATTGTAAAAGTAAACGTCGTACTTTTATGTAATTCTTTCATTAGTTTTGGAGATTTTGCGGAATTTTCAACCTAAGAAAAAATTTAAAAATAAAAATCATGATCTAGATCTAAATTAAGTAACTGCTACTATCATCCCTAAAACAAATTTTCTTAAAATAAGGAGTACAAAAGTAATTGCGAGTATTTCTATCATGTATATTAAAATATCACAAAATGTGTTTACCTTTGAGTATTAATATGCATTTATGTTCATTTTAAAAATTTTCAAAGCCTTCGAGGATTAATAAGTTGCATTCTAATTTTTATATCAGCTATGGAAGAGTGAAAAGCACCGGTAAAGATAATCATTATTTGAAAGATTTTGATATTTTTCGCCTCTTAAAACTTTAAAAATACAAAAACAATCTAAAAACTGTACATTTTAACAATTAACACATTACAGTATGCAGGTATTTCAGTTCAATCAAACTGTATGCTCCAATTTTAGTAATTTGTACAAGAGCTTTCAAAGGTTTGGACATTCTAGTTATAAGTGTAAGTTCTTAATAAATCATAGATGCGAACAAAAATGAAATAAAATATCACTACCTATACATGAAATATGTTTCATCCACCATCATTAATAACGACATGAAAAAAAGGAACCTTATTTTATATTTTCCTCAATATCGAAGAATCCATAACACAAATGCTGTGTGACTAGGAAGTAATTCTTAATGAACGTGTCCACGCCGATAAGGCATATAAAGTCGCTAATTAACAGAAATATCTTGGCTGATTCTTTTATGAATGGTACTCAACAGATAACAACTAGTTAATCTTACCACATTTCGGCTTGCTCTGTTGATACCACTTTCTACATACCTGTTACTTCGCTAGCATCGCTCTTCTTGTTCGTTTAGAGATTGAGACGAACAGTATTAGAATAAAATAAGATTTACCAGTTAAGAAATATCGTAAAATTGTCTTGAAAACACCACTGTCTGTTTCTTTGTTGCTATTGTTATTGTATATACAATGAAGAAATCACAGCACCGAACTACTAAACTCATAGATGCAGACTATAATGCTGCTGCCTCTGCCGGCAGCAGAAACAACACCATCAAAGCAAAAGCCTCCTTAGTTCGTCTCTACCCTTACCGCTGTACACTCGATGCTCCTCCAGTTCGTCTTCAGAATCCGATTCCCTCTCATCTTCTTGCACTTTTTTCACTCTCAGTTCGTAATCAGACCAGTGATCGAGTGTCTCCTTGTGCAGCTCAAGAGCCATTAGTCCCGGGAAGATGGAATCACAGATGGAACATCCATAGTGGCGCTTTCTCTGTTGATGCTGCTCCAGACGACGAACAGTATTGAAAGATCTCTCGCAGACGTTGCATGTCAGCTCTTCATCTTCTGTTTGAAAAAAAAAGAAGAGAAATTATTATAAGTCTCCCAAAAAGCAATGCATGAAAAAAATTGCGAATGTTTCTTTGTATGGCTACGTGTACTAAACGTGAATAGAAACGATAATTCTGCAGCAGTTATATTCGATGAATACGATTTAAACAGAGATGCAGGGAAAATGTTGTGCATAAGGTTTAATTAGTAACATTTATAAATTTAAATGCATAGATTATTATAAACTTTAATTCTTTTTTTATCAGGAAAGACTAAAGAATTAAAGTTAATTAAGAAATTTTATTTTTCATTAAAATCTTTTCTTGCATTTTTTAATTTCATGATAGTATATTCATAAGTTAGCCAGAGACAACAACCCTTTATCTTAGACAGCAGCAAGAGAAGTGAATAAAGTTAATTGCTAAATTGAAAAAAAAAATAAATGAATGAAAACATTAAGTACTTAACTGAAGAATGTGAGTCAAGTATTAATCATCTTAGGAAAATAACCTCTCTTACCTATGTACGAACAACACAGAAATATTTCAGTTAAATATCAATACTTAATACTTGACGGAGTAAAACCTGTCTTGTCAAATAAAAGTTTAGTTAAAAATTAAGTAGATTTAGATAAACTAAACCTTTTTTAATGATTCTAAAAAACAGAAATACCATAAATTGCAAAAGTTTAATTAATCTTTCCCAGTTACTATTTAGTTAAGGCAAAACTCCTCTCAATTAAAAAAACAAATAAGTATTACAAACTGGTACAAAGAAATAAGTTGCATAACAAAATCGAATTACTGGTACAAGCAAATAAATAAACAAATAAGTTGCATAACAAAATCGATAGAAATTCCCTTATTCAAATTAAAGTAGGCTTCTAAGCGAAATGCGTTTGAAACGCATGGCTCCACTTTATTAATGAATTTTTTAAATAAATATTAAGAAATATTTAGCAAATCTGTGATAGTTCGAAAAAAAACTAGCAGACAGGCACCATAATGCATAATTTTAAAATTAAGAAAAGTTTTGAGTGCGTCAGTGCATGAATGTTTGCTGATACTACTGTATTGCATCACTTATTAGCCCTAAGAGTCTATCTTGCAAACAGATACTCAGACATTCAATTAATAAAGTACGGTATTGTAAAATGCACTTTCTTGTCGTACGATATTTGTAAATAGTTGCATAGTTGCTTTTTATTACAATATCGTAAAAATACAGTATTTAATACAAGAAATGGTACTTTTCCGTTTCGCCGGCGCAAATCTCATCAAGTAGATTTTATTGGCGACAACATGCAGTACACACATAAAAAATGTTAACTAATGTTAGTTCTAAGAATTTTTCATTTTGAAGGCATAAACATTTTAATATTATTTAAAATTTTGTAAAAAGCCAAAAAATAAAGACAACAAATTTGTAAAAAGATATTAATTTAAGAATTTGCTATGCTTTCATGGTTCAACATCCTGATTCGCCTTTTCATATCACGTGACTCCAAGTGATCTCATCTCACGTAAACTGGGCCACAAAAATCTAATTCTCTCAGTAATTATCTACATTAATTTCAAGTTAAATCTTAATTTGGAATACAAGTTTAAATGCAAGAATTATTTCAGTTCGTACGAATAGCTTACTCAGAAATTATGTAAAACCGTAGTGCTTTACTTCGCTAGTGCATTCTCATTAGAATTGATGAACTTAACCCTAGACTTTGCCTTTTCTATATATTTTCGCCTTCGAGTGAGCGGTGTGATTGCATCGTAATTGACTTAGTTGCCGCGAATGGCCTTAGGGCATAAAACTGAACTATGTGGTAAAAATTCTATGTAATGGTATGCCAGTATTGAAAGAAACAATCAATCTGGTAAGAAATGGCTGCGCACTGTTTTGAAAATGAGGCGTAAAAGGTTATCAGCGAGGATATTACGTTTGGCATCAGTTGTACCATTATTGGCGACTTTAACCTCTGCGCCGGCCAAACGGAAACGTACACAGAGTGCAAAATATGACAATAGACTATTTATACTAATGCTGAATTTCAGTAAGCAGCAGATGTCCTTAGGAATTAAAATTTTAAAGGATAAAATTTATAAATTCCAAAGATAAACAAACTATCACACCGGTGATAAAGATAAACACGCCGGTGTAAACTTTAAAATTATATAAGAGAATCTTAGACGCCATGGTTTAATTCAAAATTTAAGCTGATTTAAGGTTGTTTTTTTGACTAATTTTAAATAAACAAAGAATATAAATTACGTTCTTTTGATTATATATTTTCAGAAAATAATATAATTTCAGATACCTGCAAATTATTTGAGCTGGTAATTCAAGTTTGTGATATGTATATTAAGGTGTGAATGGCAAGAGTGTCTATCCGAGTAAGAATACGTAAGTTCTCATATATGTGTATATAATTACGTTAACAGATGTAATCGTAAAAATTCTACAGTCCATTGAATTTATTTGTGAAGTTCGTAAATATTTGTGTGATTAAGTTCTTTTCTCGAACATTTACATTTATTGCATATAAATTATTAGTATTTAGATGAAATTAATTCAAATTATTATTTAGATGAAATTATTTAGATGAAAGTAAATTCAAACATGACAGCTAAGATCAAAACTTCACAACTTCATATATCTGAATGATATGCGTTTAGGGAATTGCTGAAGAGTGAATTTCTAAAACTTTCGCAATTATGCTAGTACTGGCAAATTGAGAGATTAATTACAATCGAAAAATAAAGTTATCTTAATCAAATTCGACGTTTATAATATTATTGTGCTGTTAGGTTATAGTGTTTTTAGTTTTGGTTTAGATATTCAAATATAAGATCATGTGACAGTCACATCCTTCCTTTTTACTACCTTGTAAGAAAAAAAAAAGGAAGTACTGTAATTACGAAAAATTTCGGATGTAATACTTTAACGAAGATACCCATTTTGATTGCTCTCGAATCCATCTGAATAATTTTTTTTTATTGCTTAACATCTCTATGTACGGTCAGCATAAAGGACTCCTTTTCCAAAACGGATTGTAAAATGGATTTAAAAGAGATGCAGAAGGGAAATTTTTGTGACATCTTGAAGTATACGTAAGTGCGTATGTATCATGCATGACTCAAAAGCGATTAGGCTAAAAATGTTGAATTCTTGTATATGGAACTATTATAACATCTGGTTGTGCATCTCCCTTTTTTTGTTGCAATCGGCCGCATTGATATAAATGTTACCCGGTACGGTGAACTCTGGTTTTATTCTTATATGTTGATAAAAGTGATTGAAATATGTTGTTCTGATGTTCCGGATTAAGAATGTTGTGCATTTAGTATATATGCACGCAATAGTTGTAGAATTATCAATAGTTTAAAAGCTTAAGTGGCTCTAGGCCCAACGAGGCCACCATTTGTTTACATTTGAAACTGTTAGTAGTATAGTGACTTAAATCAGTGGGTGCACAAACGTCCAGTATCTTTTTGCCCAGTGGGACCGAAAACTAACTTTCAATTTTGTTCACGGAAAATTTTGTTTTCCTGGCCCTATTTCTTATTTTTGCACACAAACCCTAATTTCAAAAATTGTTTTAATTTAACTGTTTCTAACTGTGTTTGGCATTTTACGTTTTTCTGTATCGTACAATTTTTAAAGGTGTTTTTAATTTTTATGTATTTTTGCCTTGCCGCGAGAAGAGGAAATTGATTGAATGAGAAACATACCTCTTATGAAATTCGAGGAAATAAGTTAAAATGAAACGCAGAAAAAAAAGTGTATAATTTAATAGGCCGTACAAGGAAGTTATGTGGTGTTCACATCAGATATTTTTGTTGCTATAAGTGCTTCAATGTCGCTGTTGAAGTTTTGAGTAATTTTGGGAAAAGTACTGCCAATGTTTTCTAAACTTTAAAAACATCTTTTTTTCTCTACATGTTGACTGATATTTTCCTTTGCAAAAGACTACTGTTATGACTCAGAATTTTAATTTAATTCAAAGTAAATTTAGGAAGTATAATAATAATTAGGTTTCTTGGAGAAAGGATAGCTGTAGAGGGAAGATGGGCGCACAGCCTTAACTTTTAAAACTAGGAAAAATACTCAGTCAAATTCTGCTGTTTCGTTTTAATTGTTTTCATCCAATTTGCTTATTAAGTAATGAATTTCCAATAAAATGATACAGAATACTTTTATTGTGAAGAAGAAAGTCTATATGATATTTCTAGAAATGCAAGAAGTTTATAGACACACACACACACATATATATAACGCAAAATAAAATAAAATAAAAGTAAAAAAAAAATTAATTCATCTCATATTCAATTCGGAATAAACGGCATGCAAATACCCAAAAACAGAAACACAGTGGCAAACTAAAAGAAATAGGGGAGAGCAAAATAAGCCAAAAGGAAAAGTGAAAAAAAAATATATCTTTAGTTGCATCTTCATCAGGGGGTTGGTGCAACGGAAGAAGTAAATAAATTAAACAGCTGGTTTTTGAATGGATTAAAGATACAAATTAAAATTTAAAATTTAAAAATAATCTTAGAAAACAGTCAAAAGAATCTGTGTCGTCAGGAGTGACCTCTACAGGCCGAAGTAAGTCCAACCTCTACAGGCCAAAGAATTAGAGCCAGCAAAAATGCAAAATTATAGCATCAAAAACATGGACAAATTAAAAAAAAATTGCGAAATAATTGACAAATAAAAAATATTTTCAGTAGATAGAGTCCAAAAACAAAACTTGCAGAAATAATAATCCAGTACTTGAAAACAAAACCATATACAAATCTGTAATCCAAAACTAGAAATAGCAAAACTATATGCAAATTTTGAAAACATACAGGCTGGGTTAAAAAAGTAGCAACGTAGATCATATAAACAAATGAGCTTAAAAATGTAATAATTTCTTTTAATATAAGTGGACCGTGTTCAAAAATATGTAAAACAGAAGTAATCTAACATATGCAAAAATTAAAGGAATAAATGAAACTTTGATCTAAAAAATAAGA